GGGGCGGGGCTGCGGAGCTGTCCGGGGAAAGGCTGCCCGCGGAGCCTGGCGCTGGCATCGCGGCCCTGCCAGGCGCTCGCAGAATTTTCTGGGCTGCCCACTCCCCGGAGACAAGAGGGAGCCATCCGCCCAGCCTCCCGGGCTCGCCTGCCTCGGCCTCCAGGCGCTGCTTTGGGACTGGGTCTATTTCTGTAATTTTCACACGGGGTGAAGGAGCTGGCCCGGATCTGTCAGGATTCCCCCAAAGCGGGACATGTCACCCAATCGGGCCCTCCCAGCTCCCTCGAGTTGGTGGCGGCCCTGGGCTCGGTGCCCTCGGTATAGGCTGGCAACTTGCAGGGGTCGCTCCGCGCTGACCTTGCCCAGGGGACAGTGGGGACAGCTCCCAGCCGACCCAGGATGCAGGCGCGGGGAGTCAGCGTGCTGTGGCGGGGACCCTCGTCCTCAGCCTCCTCCCGAGGGGCTGCTGGCCGCGCGGCCAAGGGGCCCCGGTGGGCGGGGGGCTCTGAGTCCCCGGGCGGCGCGTCCTGTGGGGACGGCGGACACGCGGGTTTCCGGGGGCAGGGTGGGCCTGCGCTGGTGTCCAGCGCCCCACGCTGGCGCCGCGGGAAATGCGGACGCGCGGGGCCGGGAGCGCGCGGGGCCGGTGGCATTGGTGGCCAGGCAGCGCCCGGGGAGGAGGCGGGTGTCCACCGGGGCGGAGGATGCGAGCGAGGCCTCGCGCCCGCGGCGAGAACCGCTGAGTCACGCTTCCCGGCGGGAAGGGGCTGGGCGCTGGCTCCAGCCGGCTGCGCTCGGGAGCTGGGAGACCCTTGTCGCCGGCCTCAGCGTGGCTCCCGGAGAGTGGCAGTGGGCCCAGGCCCTGGGCTGGAGGAGGGACATCTTGGCGGGCCAGCTCCTCCCCGCTGCCTGGACCGCCTGTCGGAGGAGGGAAGGGTCAGCCTGCTCATCTGTGCTGAGGCCGAGGGGACAGACAGCTCGGGGCACATTGTTGGTCCGAGCGCCAGGCGCCTGAACCACAGCGGACATTTACAAACATTAAATCCTCCTGTCCACTCCTCCCCGATTTCCTTTCAAACGTTCACGGTTTCCTAGCAGGGGAAGCCGCGGACGCGCGCAGGCGTGAGATGCAATGCGTCCGGTCCCTCTGCAGTCGCGCACTCGTTCGGCAAACGCTACTGAGCCACCCCTCCGTGCCACTTGTTTTCGCCCTGGGGCGGCCTGTGTGTCCCAGCCGGCCACGCCTCCTCTCCAAGCCTCCACTTCCCCGTCTGCACAACGGGAGTGGGCAATTCCTTCCTGTCCACAGGGTCTGTGGGGATGGGTGACACGGAGGGTGAAGGACCCGTCTGGGAGCTGGGAGCAATTAGCCCGCAGTCCAGCTGTCCATCCTGGGGCCTCCTGCATGTTCTCACCTTTCCCCATGCCCATCCACAGATGGAAACACTGAGGCTTGGCCTTCGCCCAGGCCCCAGGCTGAGGGTCAGTGTGGGGGGAGCAGGGCTGAGGTCCATCAAGGAGGACAGGATCTGGAAGGGGACACAGGGCCAATGATGATTAGAATTGGAAAGACGCCAGGATTCTGGGCTCTCAAGGAAGACTGACTTGGACGTGCTTGTATCCTTGATGGCATTTTATGCCCTAACAGCTACTGCCGTTAGGTGCCCTGGCGTCAGCTCTGGCTCACAGTGACCCTGTGCACAGCAGAATGAAACACTGCCCGGTCCCGTGCCAGCCTCCTGATCCCTGCTCTACCTGAGCCCGTCACTGCAGCCACCGTGTCAGTCCATCTCGTTGAGGGCCTTCCCCTCGTTCACTGACCCTCCACCTTATCAAGCTTGATATCCTTCTCCAAGGAAGGTCCCTTCTGACAACAGGACCAAAGTAGGTGAGATGATGTCTCGCGGACCTTGTTGTACTGAGCACCTGGCTACTTCTCTCCAGACAGACTCTGACCCAAAGAGCGCAGAGAGCCCAGACGTGGATGGATGTCAGACGGGCTGGCGCTAACACCTGCTTCTGACTGCCCTCCTGCTGTGCAGGTCTCTCACCCGAGCTCTGAGTTCTCCCTTCTAACGGGGACGTGGTAGAGACCCTCCTGTGGTGGTGCGTGTGGGCAGGGGAGCCCTGGGTGGGAGGTGCCCAGCACGGCTCTCATCTGCTGGAGGCCTGTGGTGAATGCTGTTACAAGAGACCCCTCAGAGGAACAATGCTGTCGGACCCACTTTGCAGAAGACCCAGGCAAAAGAACCAACTGCTCCCTGGTTGTGGATGTACACACACTCCCTGCACCTGGCCGCTTTGCCCTACTTCCTGTCCCCCCCACTGGCCATTTTCTTCCCTGCCGCAGGGCAATTGCACAGGCTGTTTCCTTCCCCCAGAAGCCCCCTCCCTGCTCTTCACATAGCTGACACCTTTTCATCCTTTGGGTCCCAAGTCTGATGTCATCTCTACTAGGAACTCTGCTTAAGTCACAAAGTCCCCTCTTGTAAAACCCCAAATCCCTTGCTACAGGTTTAGGCTTTGTTAGTCACTCACACTTTAGTGTGAACTACTCAGAGCAGCAGGTTTTTTGTCTGTTTGTTTTTGCTAACTCTCAGCTGAGCACAGCTGCTGGAGAGTTGTTGTGTTTATCTGGGGTGAGTGCAGGCGTCTTTGGGGCAGAGAGAACCTCGCAGAGATGGGAGCCTTAGGGAAACAGTGCAGTTGAGACCAAGGACAGTGGGGCAACCTGGTCCCTAGAGAAAAGGGTGGAGGGACGGGAGGACCAAGAAGGTTCAGTGTGACATTTCCCAAGCGTTGCGTGAGCCCCAGGACCGTTCTGGCGCCTTCTCTGCACCACACACTAGAGGGCTCCACGGGGTCTCCTGGCTGTCGACCTCTCAGAGCAGACCCCCAGGCTTTCTTCAGCCGCACTGTTGGCTGGGATCAAACCACCAACCTTTAGGTCAGCGGCTGAGTGTTTGGGCCACGCAGGGACCTCTGCAAGTCCGACTCGGTGATCGAGGCCTCTCCGACTGGGCTGGATGGGCACCCCAGGTGTTCCAGAAGCTGAGCAGACCCACCCCGACAACGCTTCTCACGTACCCCTGGCCTGTGGGGGCCCCTGCGGGGGCTGGGCCGTTCAGTGTCAGATGCTGTATCGGGGAAGAAGGGGCCTTTGTTTGCCTAGTCCTGTCCATGTGCTCCACGTGGTTTCAGAGTGATGCTGATCCCCGTAGTAACCGACTTCATAGTTAAGGGAGGGAGGGCCCCTTCTGGTGGCTGGACTCCCTGCAGTGGTCAGTCCCAGCGGACAGGGCCCCCCTGTGTGGTTGGTCCTCCTTGCAGTGACTGGGTCCCCTGCAGTGGTTGGTCCCAGTGGACAGGGCCCCCCTTGTGGTGACTGGGTCCCCTGCGTGGCTGGTCTCAAAGGACAGGACTCAGGGCAGGAGGTTTGTGAGGGGACACCTGTAGAAGGCCGATGGTCGGGTGGAGAGCGAGCTGAGCTGAGGACCTAGGGACGTCATGACTCCCTGCCCACCTGTGTCCAAGCCTCCGGTCACATGTCCACTGTGACTGAACCCTGCGTGTGTGAGGAACACTGCGTGGTCTTTGTTGTTAGGAGCTGGGAGTGAAGTCTCAGGGAGTCACAGTCCACAGCACCCCCCCGTGCAGCCTTACTGGTTGTCAGGGTGGCCAGGGGCTGCCTGCAACTCACAACCACCCCTCAAGAGGGCTCTAGGTTTGCTTTCTGCTCCGGGCCCCTCTGGGGTAGGCTCTGAGGCAGGTGGGAGACCCTCCCGACTGGTATCAGGGTCCCAGGGGCCCGGTGGGTTACCTGGTCTGAGCCTC